TTCAGTGCATTGTCTGTGGATTGAATAATCTCTCGCATTCCTTGGCCTTTTGGCACCCTGCTAGAAGTAAAAGCTGCAGTGTTTCTGTGAAACTAGTTTTTCATTACTATTAACAATATCTTTTTTGAGTAACCAGTCTTTTGCTGTGTGATGACTAAGCTATGTCTTGGACAGAGAACTTAGAAGAAAAAATACATGAAAAATGCTTAACTTTTAAAATTATATTGTTAAATTAAGTTTATTTTCCGTATATGTTTACTTTTAAGAAGCTAACATTAATGCCACATCGAAGAATGTGTTCTACTTTGACACTTAATAGCATGGTTAAAGCATTAATTTAGTCCTGCATTTATTTGAATGTTGAAGTCTGTATATTTCTCTAAAGCCTTGGTGATGTTAATTATTTTTATTGACATATTGTGACTATATTAAGGATTCCAAAGTATTCATAAATGCTTTCTTAGAATCTAGAAAGTTGATAATGAGGGATTTTTGGCTTTTGATGGTCTCTGTGGTTATTGTATGGGGTATAAATTATATAGGGTAAAAATCTAGTCAACATATGATCTGTAAACTGGATTGGATTGAAATCCAATCTCCTATTCCATTAAAATGACACAATATGACAATGTTACTGAAGGACAATGTTTTGCTGCTTGTTAAGTGAATTGCTTAGGGGTGCTTGCTCTGTTGCATGTTCAGTGTTATTTTTCATCAATCTAAAAGTTGTTCTTAGTTCTATGTCTGTGTAAAAGTTTGGCCTTTTTTTTTTTGTCTCCTAAGCCTTCAGAACTTCCTTGTTGAGTTTTTGTATTCTAAATTTGCCATGGGGTTTAACTTCTCTTTTGTAGCTTTTGGAGGGCTAAGGGATTTATATTTCTTTTTGTAGTTTGTTTTTTTTTCAGTGGGAAATGCTTAATTTTAAATTCTATGTATGTATTTCTATTTTCTGTTTTATACGTGCATTTAGCACATTCTTTTGACCATTGGTCCAGTTGTTTAAGAACACTTTAGCAAAGCGAGGAAAGTATTGAAGGAGGAAAAGAATTGGTATTGGCCTCAGAACCAAGTTAAAAGGCAAATGGTAGAAAGTTTTGAAATAGATACATATTCTATCCAGCTGATAAAATCACATTTCAGTAGGAATTTAGGCTCACGTAACACTGACACCACAGCAGTTAGATATTGCATAGCATAATTTCCCCCCCACACCTCCCATTTTGGTTAATGTAGGTCATCAGGAGATAAAAACAAATTTTTCCTATGAGTACATAGGAACTTCAACCCTCTTTCATAGCAGACAAATTGCTCATCTTTTTGTTTTTATTCAAGCATAAGTGATAGCTCAAAATGTCCTGAAATCCTCTTTTCAAAGAGGGAAATGTGATGAACAGTCTTCAAAATATGGGTCAAGCCTCAGTCTGCCATGAATAAATGGGGATTTTAGCATGTGTTCGTGAACTCGTTTTGAAAAAGCAGTACAAAAAATACATTTTTCCATGTGATTTCAGAGCATCGATGTAAGAGAGTCCCTGTTGGATTTAGAAGTGAACCTGACAGCATTTTTCCAGGATTGCATCATATGTTTCACTCGCACTTTCACATCCTGTATTAAACCACATGCATGCACGTCAACAAGACAAGATTGTAAAAGGAGTGTGACTGGGGAATTGTTTTCCTGATACTTGATAGGAGTAATTGCAGCCACTGCTGCTTCAAAGCAACTGTGGTTATACTATACTATGTCAACAAAAGTCACTTTTACCATGTGGAAACCTAATTATTTCAGAATGATCTGTTAGAAAGCACTTTTGAAATAGTCAGGCCATTTATACAACTCGGTAAAAAATATTTGTGCATGAAACCTTTCTTGAATAAAAGCTTTCATGTGTTATAGTTTGAGCAGTACAGTGACAGTTTTGGAAATATTAAAAAAAGTAGGCTTCTGTTTAAGAGGTGGTAGAAAAATTTAGTAGGTGGTTAGAAAATATGAGTATTTCCATATAATTTGTGTGATAAACCTGGTAGGGCTATTACTGAATAGAAGAAGAGAGGGTGTTCTCTGCAGCAAGACCCTAATACTATGGGAAATGGGATGAAACTTTTATACATTTTAGTGAGATCGTGCGATGTCAGGGATATTTTTCTGTGTAGTATTTGCTCCAGAAAATGACTGAAAACTTTTGTGGTCTTTTTGGTCATTAAATTATGTAGCTGTTGTTCACAACAATGTCTTGTTTTTACATGTGGTTGTTTGTCACTTCTGAGCTGTTCAGGACATCTGTTAATCAAACATTTTTTCTGTCGCTATGAAATTAAGAATATCACAGATTTGTTTAGATAAGTGTGATGTTTTGTACCTAGACTCTTACTATTTGCTGTAAGTTACTACCAAAAAAGTGCTGAGCCTGCATCTCCACTGAATGCCAAATGGCAGCCACCAGTCACACACACGAGAATTTCTTTTTTGTGTTGTTTACTTTGGGTTTTTGTTTGGTGGGGTTGTTTTCTGTTGTTCATTAGTTCTAAGGTTATCTAAGTGGTTTATTGCAGACTTCCAGAACAGGGTTCAGTATACTTAGCAGGACTTGAAAGAACATAGGCTGTTTATTATGGTTATCTCAGCACAAAGCAGTTTAAAGGTACAGAACTGTGTGGAAGCAAACAAACCCAGTTTGATGTCACTAGCTCTTCTGAGCTGTTCCTGCCGTTACAAACAGAAGGTTTGTTCCTTGGAGAAGACTCACTAGTTTTCTGCAAAGACAAGCCTGAGAACATGGACGCTGTGGAAAAATCCAGAGATGAGAACTGAAGAGGGAAGGGACAGGTGACATGATCTGACACTGCATGTCTGCTCTCACATAAAGTAACTGGACCCTTATCTCCTTTCCATGCTCTCTGAAGTTCTTATGCACAAGGCTGCACGTGCCAGGAATGCTGGAGCTGGCTTTTTGGCATCTTGTTCCTGTCACAGTGCTGTTCAGCCATAATAGATCATCCAGAATTTGTGCTTTTAATTTGACATAATAAATCAAAAATTACAAAGAGTATAGTAGTGTCAGAGATTGTTTATTTGGTCCCCTTATGTTGACTATTAACTCAGTTGAGTCAACATCCATATGCCACTTCAGATAATCTGATCCAAGCAGAGATTTATAAAGTTTTTATGGGAAAAGAATTTTATCCTGTTTGATTTCATTTTTGTTAAACCAATCTAGAGCTGCTGATAATTTGGTTCTGTGAGAATATAATCAAGTATGATGAATGTACAGTGGATGTTTTATGTAACTGGATTGATAGAGGGCTGTGAAATGGCACCTCTTTGCACCTACTGACAAGATGGAGTTAATTATAAAGTACTGAGTATTTCTGACTCCACTGAACACTAGAAACCACAGATTAATCGTCAAGACTTGAAGGAATGAAAATACCTTAATAATTCATGTTGTGTACTTTTTTTCCACTTATTTTGGATTAGAGAAGAGTTGGTTTTACTTCCCTGCTTCCTTCTTGCTTTCCCATCTCTGTTCCAGGATGGCCCAGGAAGTAATATGGTATCTGTGGCATAAGATAAGATTTTTTTGTTTAAAATAACATACAAAATTGGTCGGTGTTTTATTTAGATTATAGAAAAAATAATAATACATCCTTACAAATAGCTTCAACCATAAGTTAATTTTTCCAAAACAAGGAAATGCAAATTGAGTAATTGGAGTAACAATCTTGGGGGAATGAAAGCTAGATGGTGATTTGAGGAATAGATTTAATTGCATAAATCTCTGAGACATATTGATATATCTAAGACAATTTGTTAGTCCCCATTGACATGCTGATAAGTACAATGGAGATTAAGCCTGCAGTTGTTCTATTTTCAGTTTATTTGGTTTATGGGTAGATAGCAGTGAGTAGCTCAGTGCATGCAGGCATATTTTGCCATTACATTGCTGCTGTCATATGTATAATATGTATAATATTTAAACTCCTCCTAAGATGTGTTTAATACTGATATTATTATACTGCTATAAGCTAGGAATGAGTAGAGAAGCCGTATTTGCAGTTTTCTACCTCTTAGCTCATTTTGACTGAGTAACTACTGACTCCAGACAGAACGAAAAATTTCGTAAATCAGCATTGGAAAAACAGTGCATTCAAATCAACATAAGGTCTGAATTCCTCCATTATTTAAGGATCCCTAAAGTTACATAGCAACATTTCATTTTCAGCCTTCACTTGGCAATTTAGTACAGCTATTTTCCATTTGAGGAAAAAAAGCCTTAATTGAGAACTCAATGCTAAGGACTTCTTTTTTATGTGTCTCAGTAAATCTACCAATACAGGCAGCAGGATTGCTGTGGTAATTACTCTGTTTGGTACAGATATTGATGCTGTATCAGTAGCATCCTTTCTGATATTGAAATCATGTAAATGGAACTATTCTGGCACAGTGAGAGCCTGTCTCTATAGACCTTGACTTTGTACCAACTAGATTTACAGGCCTGTGTTGTGCACTGGGGCTTTCTGGGCGTTGTTAAACAGGAGACAGTGACCTTTCTGAAGTGTCTGTAGTCTTTGGGCCTCAAGACCCATTCCTTTACACTATGATTATCTCCTAACATCGAACTGAAAGTAATTCACCCTTAATTGTGAGAAAGTTTAGCTCCTAGTTTAAAGTCTGTCTTGATAATATTTTTTTTTTTTAATTCGGTGAACTGGACTAAACACTAAATCCAAAGCCTGTAGTTACTAATATTCCTAAGAAGTAGCTAATGTTGGTTCAGCTCTCAACTTCATTGTGTGGACTTTTGGAAATACTTTTTAGTTGAGAACTTCATGCTGTTAAATTCACTTCTCATGCTTCTTTGCTCAGAATTCTTTAATGGCCAAGGAAATAAGTTGGTGGGAGTTACCCATCTATGCAAAACTTGTGTAGTGATTTCATAATACTTAAGTATTATGATAGCATATATCATTTAGCTAAATAAAGAATTCCTGTTTTTCAGGCCTTACCAGTTCGGAAAATTCCATGCAAAGCCAATGCTCCTTCAGGGTCTTTTTTTGCACGGGACAACACAGCAAATTTCTTATCCTGGTGCAGAGATGTAGGTGTGGATGATACCTGCCTGTTTGAATCAGAAGGTTTGGGTATGTATTTCTTTATTCTTTGTGTAATAGTTGGTAATTTAAAATAACTTTTCCTTTGTGTTTAGCCTTGAAAGGCAGAAAGACTTTTAATAGGTTCTGACTCTAAATCTGAGCTTTGTATGACTGTGTTAATTCTGCTGCATGACTGTAGAATGAATAAAGTACACATCACATACTACTCATTTAAGTTGATTTTAAGAGGAACTTAAATGAGAGAAAACTCTTGCTATGTTTTCTTGCACAGAAATGATTTTTCACCCTACACATATTTTTCTGAGCATGGAATGCTGTTCCTTAGTTCAGTGGATAAGATGGTGCTTTTCTGTTTTGGGAGAGTAGGATCCAAGTGCATGCACAGTTCTGTCTGCAGACATTTGGCTAGTTGTGGAGATCTAATGAATTCCACAGGAGGCAAGATGATACAAAATTTTTCTGTTTCCCATGCTGACCATTTTTTCCAGCCTGTTCCCTTGTGCAGTTCTGGACAAAAATTATCCAATACTACTGCTTCACAGTGTTTCATGAAAAGAATTGTAGTGATCAGGAAATCACTGTTCTAATACTACATAGTCTGTGTTGTTTTAACTTTTCTTTCTTTGAAGGAAATCTTATGAATCTTGACATCACAGTTTTTCAGCCAAATCTCATGAAATGAAGCGAATGCAATGTTTGTTATCTGAAATCAGATAAAAGTGTAAAGCAGTCATAGTGACAGATCAATTTCTAAGGAAGACAAATGAACACACTGTGCTGAGGCTTCTTTGTTCTGTTGCTCAAAAAGCCTGTTGAAGCTCTTACTTGTGACTGATCCCATTCTTTTACAGTCTTGTTCTGCTTCTGTAGTCCAGCACAAATATTTCTGAGAGAGTTTTTCTTTTTCATTTGTCTGTTCTTTTATCCTGGGAAGTTTTTTAATCACGTTATTTTATATGTCTGGGAGAAAATGCTTGGCAGAGGACAGATTAGTATCTCAAAGGTGACAAATAGTAAGTTGAATATATGTATTGACTCTGTTTTGTTAATTAAATCTTTAAGATAAAATTCTTATTTTATATGGTAAATCATGTGGAAGGTGAACAATAATTATAGTTTCAATGATTTGAAATGGTGAATAAGTTGGACATTTACCAAGAATCTTGTAAACACCAGGAGATGCAGACCTCCAATGCCTGAGATAGGCAGAACCACCTCTGGTTAATAGAATACTGCAAGGTATTAGAAGTTTGTATTGCTGGGTAAACCCAGTCGTGTGCCATTGTTCCACAAATCTGTTGTGCATTTTTAAGAGACTAGATCTTGTTCAGAGATGGAATTGCCATAGCTGGAATACTGATATTTCCTGATAATTCATTTGCAGACATACACAGTGCCTGCCTGCCTTAGTAAAACAGGGTGCAAATACAAACAGAGAAAAGGTGTGTTCCAGAGGACTTCCTCTCTCAGAAAACTGAAGGGAAATATGACTGACTGTGCAAACCTGTACTCTATTTTGTTTGATTAGTGACTGATTTTCTTCACTGAGAAAAGACTAGGTTCTGAGGTTTTTTTCCCTTATTGTATAATGTACTAAAATAAAAGATTTATGTTGCTTAAAGTAAGATGAGGACTTGATAACATTTTTGAACCATTTTTCTGAACTTGAGAAGGAGGTGGTAATCATGCCTTAAAAAAAAAAAAAAAAAAAGATAAAACCAAGTAGCTATTATTCTCCTTCAGTTTAGTCATTAACTCAAAGTTTTGCTTTTTTGAGATTTTCCTAATACATTAGAAATAATGATAAATCTTAACAGTTGCCAATCTAAAGCTTTTATGTTCCTCTCTCTCCCACAAATCACCAATGCATAGGAAGCAAAAATTCAGCAAAGGTAAGTAAGGTTCTTTTCAAAGTAGTGAGAAATGTGTGTGAATGGCATCTGTATTTGCACTACCTCATTGAATTTTTCATTTTATATTATTAATTGTGGTGAAATTTTCTTCTGTTTTTCCTCATGGCTAATAAACTCAGTAAATTGGTGTTTAAATTGTTAGTGATAAAGCGGCTTTTTTCTGTCTGAATTGGAGAACCTTATTGTATCAATTTTCTCAATGGAGTGGTTTTTTTATCCTCATTTTTTTACTCCTGTGTGCTTTATGGTATGCAAATACTGTGTTATTTAATTAAAGGCACATAGTAATATTTTCATCATGCAAATGTATCAAATAAAACATCCTGAGGTCTTTTTCTGGCAAATATGCATTCTAGAATTATAAGAGTGATATTGAAGATCTAGTGCACTGAAATACTTGAATGATGGATCTATGGCGCTGATTTAAAAAAAAATGTACCAAGTATATTACAGATCAGCAAAAGCAAAAAAGTCTATACTGGCGAAGAAATTGTTAATTGTTATTTTTTCTCATAGCTTAAAAATACTATCTCATTGTTATAAGTTCTGAAGTCTCTGAAATCATGCAAGTATAGCTGCACACAGATGCATCCATCACTCCTAACTTTTTAGCACTGAGATTCAAGTGATACAAAGGTATTCCTCGCTGGAATGGAGCAGCCTCAAACAAAGACCAGGGCAGATAGGGGCAGTCCATGCCTGATGAGCATGCAGGCAAGTGGTGTTGGTGGGAAGCCTCAGCATTCTTAGAGGCTTGCTTCTGCAAAGGGTTAACATTTCAGGGCTGATCCACACAAGCAGGTGAGCAGACCTACTCAGGTAGCTTTATTCTTGTCCTTCACTTGCGGACTAATTTAGCAATTTATGTAATTATTTAAAGTTAAGCACAGTTTCAAATGCTTTGTTGGATTTGGACTATTCAGCTGAGCTAAACAAGGAAACAAGATTGAAGTCTTCAAAATAAATAGAAGGAAAAGTAAATAAATGAAAAATAGAGGTGCTTGATATACTAGTAGCTATGATTATACTATCTAATCACTAGTTACTTTAAATATCATTGGAAGAGAAAGGTCAAAATTTTGAAGACTTGTGCTGCTATTTTGTTGGCAGTCTATAATATGATATAGTTTGTCTTGCTGAATGTTATCATGCTTTAACATAGTTTACAATGTGAACAAATTGGGAACAGAGTTTCCTGTTAAGATTTGTAGTACAGTCAGAGCTGACTCGTAGCAATTTATCTCTAAATGCAGAGACATGGCAGGAAAGTCTCCAAGCTGATGGCTTTGCAAAGAAAAGGTGGCTGGGATACCTGATGTATGAGCTACAGCTCACACATGAACCTCTGTAAAAATTATAGCAGCACAGTGCCTAGTGATAATCTTGAGTGCTGCAAAATAGAGGGACACCATCTGTGCTCCCTGCACTCATTGCCAAATTTAGCATGCCTGTCATATTTTTTACTTTTAAAGTTAGTGTATTTAAAGGAGAAGGAATTAGCTTTGTTAATACCAAAAATTACGATCCAAAATCCAAATTTTGATCATCTGTGCAAATCCTGAGGTACAGTGTCATTGAATGGTCTTCTTAGACGTGTCAGACTATGTGGGACTGAACATGATGTGCCAATTCTGTCATGCAGTGTGAGGATATTAATATTGCCTTTAACCCCTCTGTTAACTCCCATAAATATACTTTGTAAATTCCTCTGTAGGGAATAGCCCCTGTAGGCTTTAGGGCAGCAGTTCCCCACAGCTCTGGTAATTTTCTTTATGGAAGCATTCTAGATCGAGATATTTGTAATTTTGCTCATGCCTGAAGAGTATAATACTCAAAGAAAACTCTTCTTGGACAAATAAGAATGGTAAGATTTTCTATGGTTGCTTTAGTTCAGTGAACATAAAGCATAAATTCTGAACTCTTTGTGGTAATGGAATGTTGTTGGATGATTATAGGATTTGGAACCAATGAATATTCTGCATCTCTTCCATGATAAAGTCTACCCGGCAAGAAAAGGGTTTGCCACTGAGTGTGCCAGCATGCTGATATGTCATCTGCTTTGGGAGGTGTTCGGTGCTGTTGATGGTTCATGTTTTGTGCTTGTATATCTATGCACCACTACACACAGCATCTGACATGAACTTCTTTTGATGCAACTAACTGATTTGAGTTTCATGGACAGGGTTCCTAAATAAATGCATTTTTTATTTTAGTGAAAATAGTAAACTGAAACACAAACATGGTTGGTTTAAAGGTTATTTTAAAAAAAATACTCAAATGTTGCTTGCTGAAAAATATTTTATACATAGGGAAGATTATTTTTAAAATTATGAGTGTAGTTTATCTGATTTCAAGATGCAAGTTTTTTCTGATCTTTTATGCTGAAACATCTACATATAGTAGCACCATGTTAAAATTTAATTGAAGTTGCATCAGAACAAGATTTTGTCCCATCTTTCACAGTTCTTTACTAAACTATTCATAATATTACTGAATATGTCTCATTTTGAGGACTATAGAAGCATCCTAGACTCTTTGTTGTTACCACTGGATTTGCATGTTAAACTACTGAATTTCAGTAAATTATTAGTGTTCAGATGACTCTGTATCCCTTCTACATTAATTCTTTACTATCCTTAGATCTAGGATGTTTGACACCTTAATTGTTTTGAGATTTCCATAAGAAATTGATCTGAATGGGGCAGGGAGTGTAGGGGAAGCATGAGCGTGTTATAGCATAGCTCTGATGCAAAAGCAAGGGTAAATTTGTTATAGGTTAACAGAGTGTTGACAAAACAATACTGGGTTTGTTTTTTTAAGAACAAAAAGCCTTCTCTAAGATCAGAATAAAACTTAAAGGAAAATGTGAGAGACAATAGGAAGAAGGATCAAAGGACCAGCCTTTTGGAAAACTTTCTCTAAACTAGTGTGAGTTCTGATGGCAATTGGAAGCCTGTGATAATAAAACTAAGGCACTTGGTAAAACTCTTTGCTTCTAGTGGGATAAGAAATGCGTTAGAAACAGAAATCTTATTTACTTTTTATGATTCAACTATGCCTGATATCTTAATCTTTAAAACAAAAAAAAAAAAAGTTTATGTTAGAAGGAAGACTGGTTTCATTAAAAATGGTCTATAAAAGTGTTAGGAGCCAAGATTTGAAACTTGGCAGGAAGTTGTGAGAAGTTTATTTCTGTATTGTGATTCCACTAATTTAAAACAAACACAAAACCACAAACAAAACAAAAACCCTGAATGTTATTGTGAACTTTCAGTTTAAACCTGTTCAGTAAACACATGGACTACATGTGCATTGTGTGTTCTGTCTCCTGACAGTCACAGGGTCGAATAATGCTGAAAGCAGAGGTTGCTCCTCCTCTGCTTCTCTGGTGGCATCCAGGCACTGAGGTAAGGACCTCTGAGGAAGCACAAAGGTTGAGTGAACAAAAGAGGAATACCTGTAAAAAGGGAATGGAGCAGCGTGAAGAAATGTTATTGCAAGGATAAAAACTTCCAGGAACTAAAAAGGAATTATTGTTAACAAAGAGTGCCTGGAGGTAGCATGCAAAGATGCAGGCAATGAGGACAGCAAATAAGAGGCATTTAAAGGGATGAGATGAAAATTGAAAAGGCAGGACACCTAAAATGAGCCAGATTTGTTTGCACTATTTCTCTATCTTCCCATTGCATTCTTGTCAAGCAAGTCCCATCAGTGAGATTCTCTAGAAAGATGGATATTTCCATTCATTTTATGCAGGGGATCTGCATAAAATAACATTCATTGGTCTCTGAAATCCCCAAATACATATGCTGTATAGTCCTCAGGAATGCTGGTATTTTCTCACTAGAAGCACTGTCTTATGAGATGACCTGATGTTTGTTTTTGTGGTTGGTTATTGTGTGCACACATCTGCATCCTCTAACAACGATGTCACTCTGCCACATTGTTCAGTGTGAAATGCATGACATGTGTCTAGATTATGTTGAGTCGGACTTGCTAAAGGTCTATTAATTTTGTTTGGGTAGATAATTTTTTTACTTTTTAATCAAATTTTCTTCTAGCTATATTTATGGATATTTTTGCAAATAGTGGTAGTTGAACCTCTCTTTTTCTTCCATTCCAGAGTCATGCAGATGTACATATGTATGAATTGCAATTTAGTTGGGTTGACTATTCCAAACCCAGTTCATTCCATTTTTATTTTTGGGGTATGCCTTACTTCCTAAAATCAAGTTTTATTTTGGGATTGTCAAAACCAATTTAAAACCAAAATAACAGAAAACACTTCTAGGGTCATGAATGTAACACATAAAAAATACTGATTACTAGGAAAGGTAAATATTTAATGTAATTACTATGTTGTGGGAAGGAAGAATATTGAAAATAGCTGAATGTCCAAGTCTTCATCATTTATATTCTTAGTAACAGATGGCTGAAGAATAAATATATTTTTCTTAGCGCAGTGCCTGTTTAGTTTTCATGCTCTGCAGTTTCATTTTTGGAAATATATTTGGATGAGATTAGAGGACAAATGCACATCTCTCGAAGGGCTACACAGACACTGGGAAAAGATACTGGGATGAGCAATCAACTCACACCACTTACATTTATTCCTATCCCTGGAGCTGCAAGTTGAAGTCACAGAGGCTGGAGTTCTGCCTCAGGGTGGTGGTTACATAGAGATGTTCCAGTCCCTTTTGGGTCTCATCCTTACACAGAACAGAGTAATTGCTTTCAGGGCTTTAAGTAGACATTAAAACATCTTTTTCAGGTGTGGTATTTTTTTCCTCGTGCATTTAAGTTAGGTGAGTCTTTAGATTACCATAAGTTTATGTAGCTGATGTCTTGACCTTAACTCATTAAAAACAAATTTATTTTGATGTTGTTTAGGTTTTTTTCTGATTTATATAAAAAGTCACACAATTACTTTTTGGTCTCAATTCAATCTCAAGTGCAAGGTGCACATTTTTTTAATATTGTGGAATTTTTAAAAACCTGATTTTTACTTACAATAACATGAGGGCTTTACTCTAGTAGGTATTTCTGAGAGTAGATTATAATGTACTCATAATTAGTATTTTCTCTTTTCTTCTATTTTTCCTTTCTTCTTCTTGAGGTTTTAGGGAGTTGATTATGCAAACAGCCACAGACCATTCTTGAGTTATTGATTTTGGATTTTGCTTATATGCTTTGCTGAATTTCTTTACAGAACATTACCTATTCTGAATCATGGAGGAAAAAAATTTTGGTTTGTGTTGGTCTTTCATAATTGTTATAACTTTCCTCTGAAGGCAAGGGTAGCTGAGGTTCTTGCTAATAGAAGAAGAGGCAGGTGAGAGTGAAACCACACTGAGTGATTAGTGTGTATATATATATATATATATGGCAGGTTGTTTTAGATCAGTTTGGTTGCAATGGAAAGGAGGTATGTAGCTATTTTGGCTATTATCATGAGATGATCATGCTGTGTCACAGCTACTTCTGAATCATAAAAAACCTATTCTATGTGGAATCCAGGCATGCAGACTTGCATTATGTATGTATGTATAAAGAAGAAACTCTTTTTTTGTCTGTTTGGTATTTTTATACTGTGAAGAACTGATTGCTAAAGCATTCTAGTTTCATATTTACTTTAAGAGCAGATGTGAAAAAAAAATTCAGGACCAAATTTATAGTAAGGTACATCTTTGTTAAAGCAACTTTTTTATTTTTTAAAATTAAATTGGCTAAGAAAAATAGTGATCTAAAGGATATGAATTCTCTTAGTTTGTAGAAAGAAATGTATTACTCTAATGTTATTATTTTTGACTTTCTACTAATTAAAGTTTTGTGCCAGATCTCTTTAATTATTTTTAAATAGTTATTAACTGCTTACAGGTTACCAATTACCCCAAATAATTTTTCAGTGATTTAGATAATTAAATTGAGCCTCTGAACTATCCAAACTCTGAGAACCACTCATCAATCCCATCCTTTTTATTCCAATAAAACTCTACAGAAAGCCAAAGAAAACAAATATTTATCGGAGTCAAGAGTAACAGATGTTGATGATTAAGTTCTATTCCATCACTAAGATCTTTAAATAGCTTTTATATATCATTGTTTTCCATCTTCATTTTGCTTTTCTAGTACTGCACAAGCAGCCAAGAGAAGTGTGCCTTTGTTTGCTGGAACTTGGAAGAATTGCAGCAAGGTAGGTGAAAATATTTAAAGACTGTTGAAATATTTGCATTTTTGACAGCAGGGGCTATTGACAGACATATAAAGTCAGCACATCTCAGGCTAAGTTTTGTGCTCATTAGGTTCAAATAGAATGTTTGTCTTGATGTCATGCTTGAAGGCAGTTGTTAACAAATATTACAAAATATCAGTACTTCAATGAAGATATTTGTAGGCTATCCTTCTATTAGGAGAGGAAGGGTTTGAGAAATTTTTTTTCTATAAAGTTTTGAGCTGTTTCTCATTCCAAAATCAGATATCTCTATAAATAACTGCAATTGAATTAAGTCTATTGATAATAAGATGATCTTCACATGATCTAAATCTGACCAAGATGATTTTAGCTGTGCTGGACTTCAGTACATTGTAATGTTATCTTTGACAACAAGACAAAGACTTTGGCTAAGCAATCAAAATTACAGTAACTAGAATGTGATTTTCCCCCTTTTCTGCAGATGTAGTTTTAACTAGCATAGCGCATAAGATTTACTGAAAAATACACGAGCAGCAGGACTGCAGCCCAGTCTTGCATGTAAATTGCAGTTGCATTATTTAATGTGTGTAAAATAGCAAGTACCTTGCTATTCAAATAGCTTCATTAATTTCAGAAGAATTCCTTGTGGTAACAATCAAGGTGAGGGAGACCCCTGTTTATTCTTAATTTAAGGACTGGTATTGGCTGTGTTAAAATTGCATCATGTATATTCATATTGTGTGAATGAACTCACATGGAAAACTAGAAATTTGTCTCATGGTCAGGTTTCAGAAAAACACTTCCTGTCAGTGGAAGCTTGCATAGGAACAGCAATGATCAAAAAAAAAAAAGTGATTTCAGGTTTTCTATTATTTTGTTATCTCTAGAACTTGTGTTCAAATGGCAAATTGTTTTCACTTCCCACAAAGAAGAAAGTATTTTGATCTGCAGATGAATAATCAAAATAATTTTAATGAATCTTAATTTACCTGAGCAAATAAACTGTGCTTTCAAGACAAACCTGGAGATGGATCTAAAAGCACCCAAAGCCCCTATGCCTGGGGCATAACTATCAGGGGTATCTGCCCCAGCTGGTTACTCTATAGTATCCAACTTCCTCAGGGTTGTGGTTAGGCAGTGTTGGACTCTGCTAAAGTTGGTTGAGTTAAATTAACCTCATTTTGCAGTGAGATTTGATGACTCAATAGATCTACAAGGGAATGAAAATAGAATCTTATCCTTTGTATTTGTCTTAAGCTTCCATGTCTCAGATGCTTTCTGTTCCAGACATGAAAAGAAGTACTGAAGAAATAAATAATCCATGCTTTCATTTATTATGCATATCTATCCCTTTACCCTTAAAATATTTGTATTGTATTTTTTATTTATACTGCATGAATATTACCATATATCATTAATGATTATTTTATATATTGTGTTTCCATTGCTGTATTTATGTTTCTTTATTTTAATTTTATTTATAGCTTAGGGTCACACATGTCTGTCTACTTTTCCCCGCTAATATCTCTTCAAAACAAACAAATCCCCATTTATAATCTTGTGTGCTTCCAAGATACACAAAAACTGAACTGGAAAGTCAGGTTAATACAATTGAAAACTAAATATATCATGCTTGTTTTGCCTGTGTGGTAAACTAGAACTGTATGGGAAAGGAGAATTGATAATTGCCTTCTTTAAGTGTAGGAAAGAGCACATTAAAGTGAGGTTGCTTTAAACAAGAGAGAAGTCAGATGTATGCATGTAAAGCAAACTGGGTCTGTTTGCAGTCTTAGGGATCTGCTTTCCTGAACAGGAGCTGTAGAAAAAGCACTTTGAAAAAATGCCTCAGTCTGTTTTTAAAGAACAAAAAGTGTAAGAGATACTGAGTAATTTTAGAAGCAGAAAGTTATGTTCAAACTCACCACAAGGGCTCAGCTTTTGGCACACTTTGCCCAGCTAGATTACTGTTAGTCTTCAGGTCTGTAACTCCCAAAAGCCAACCTAAGCTTTTTTATACAATGCAAATGGACTTGTGATTGAGGCACAAGTGTGGCAGAATGAGGATTGCTTGAGGAGTTAAATTGAGCTCTGTTCTGCTGAACTTGAACTCTCTGGAGAAGGGGAGACAGGTGACCATTTACCTTTGCTAATGGCAATGCTTTGGTAATGCTTTTAGCACGTTATCTCATAGTGTCCTCTTAGACAAATTGGGGACGCATGGTCTTGGTGGATGGACTGCACACTGAGTGGGAAACTGGTGTGACCACTTGGCTCAAAGAGTGGCAGTTCAAAGATAGTAATAAAAATACAATTGCCTGATAAATTATCCTGAATTTCAGCTTTTTGTGAAAACAAGGTTCTGAGATCATCTGCAAAACTTCAGCAGTTAAAATGAGGCCTTGTGTCACTGGCAGATGTTATGTCAATTTATGAGAGACCAAAGTGTCCTACAGGGTGGAATTGACCTCTGAAAATGCACAGGACTATTGCAGTGGGTTACACAGGTCCAGCGTTCTCCTAAGTATCTGAAAGTCAGTGATTATACAATGGAAAACAGCTAAATTATTTTTTCTGCACAAAGAATGAAGGTCTTCAGTTACTGTTAGACTCTACAGGGTTAAACAACTCTCACAGGTCTTTTGGATTACTGTTGAGCAGTTTCAATGTCTTTCTGCTATTGTATTCAATTTTACCTTGATAAACATGGAAAGTGCTGCTCTAAGAAGTCTAACAGAGATCATGTTACAGTCCAGTGCTGCTTCATGTGTAGCTGTGAGAAGCCAGGCTAGAAAGGAGCAGAAAAGGAAATGCTCAGCATACCATCCCAGAATTTGCACCTCTGCCCCTCTCAGAAAAGATGTGGCTTTTTACAATTTCAGCTTTCCAGCAACTTTGCTTTGGGTTTATACAGCATTGGGGAAAAAAGACGTGTGTTTTTTTGATTTCTGATTTTATTTTTCAACTGTTCATCAGAGGAATTCAGAGTACTGGAAGTACAGGAAACTTTAAAAATCTGTCACAAAGACAAAATTTAGAAACTATGAAAAGTAGTAGAAGCAATGAAGCAACATTTCTTACAGTGGAAGAGTTTTATTTGATGAGTAAGGCTGTATGCAGGAGTAGGCTTAGAGCCCAGTGGGAATTACATGATTTACAGCCTGTCAGCATCTGCAGGCAGACAGGAAGTAAATAGGTTATATATAAGTGCTTGCTGCAATGTTGGCTGACTTTTCATTGTGCAGACTGCACCAGTTAGAAGCCAACACAAGCACAGATTTGGTTCTTGGTTTGCTTTCTATTAATTTACTAGGCAGTAGTATGACTAAATTAAACATTATCAGAAATCTCAAAAGCTAGCATGTGTGCTTATATCTTTTCTCTCTACCCTTCTAAGATCATTATGGTATTTAGCTTTAATTTTCATGATATGTATTTGTTACTGCTCAATATTTTAGTGTCCAGGTCTTTATCTAGGTAAGTCAGTATAGTTCTGTATCTACACTGTGGACTTTTCTGCTACAGAAAAAAATATAATTGCACCTGTGGGAGTAGTTTGCTATGAGAGGTCTGCCTGGCATGGTAACTTTTCCAAGCTGAAGTCATTCTCTGAAAAAGGAACTCTGGATGTTTTTCTGGGGTTTGTTCGGTGTTGGCAGATAAAGAAACAGAAGGGGATTATCGGTAATTAGGAAAATGGGATGCGCTTTTAAGCTTTTGAGTTGTGTCCAAGCTCTGCTGCTTGCTGTGAGACACTGACTCAGTCACTTGCCATAAAGCTTTCAGAAGACCTTTCAAAAAGAACCTTGCTCTTCAAATGCTCTGGTTTGAGTTTATCCATGATGAAGTTGCATGTATTTTGTTCTAGCTGGAGCTACAGGTGTGTTGCCACTGTAAATAGAGATCTGAAGACTGGCTGTCAAAAATCAATTAGTAGAAACACTAACCACTTCTGAAGAGTAATGGCCATGTCTCAGTTTACTTATCTATAAATTCAGTGCAGTAGCTGAAACCAGGAAAGCCCTTAATCCCTTTGCATTTGTATTTCTTCAGAAAATGCTAACATGAAATATAAGTTGTTAAGTAATTTGGAAAGAAAAAAATAAAATAGGAAAAAGTCCAAATGTACTGAACTTGATTCTGTGAGGTCTAGTGTTGTTCATATATTATTCACCAACATATATATCAGAGAAGCTGAAAAAGTACCTGTATTTCCTGTAAATTTGATTAACTGAGAAACTGCATCTAAGTTTTTTTCTGTTAATTTGAAATTATGGCAATATGGGTTGGTGTATTTTAAACAAGTTTATTAATGTGTTTATCATTCTGTTACTGCACACAAAGTAGAAACTCTTTCCACTGTTTTGTTTTAAACTATATAATACTTTAGATGGACTAGTAATTTATTATTTGCATGTTTCTAAAAGGTGTGGGGTGGAACCTCCTGGATTAATAAAATTGGAAAAAGAGATTGAACAGGAGGAAACACTTTCAGCTCCCCTTCCATCTCCTTCACCATCACCCACAAAGTCTCCTGGGAAAAAGAGCACAGGGAAACTGTTGGATGATGCTGTAAGTTGCGGGAGGAAACTTCTTCCTATTTTATTGATTCTGAATGTGCTTACTTGGAAAACACACACAAGCCTAAGTTTAACATCTCACTCTATTTTAAGCATTTGTAGACTTATAGAATTATTTGTTTTTTGACCACAATTATTTATGTCTGAAGCTTTAGGGGAAAAAAAAAGTCACACTGTGTAGGAACTCTGCAGCTTAGCCTAGCTTTGTGCTTTGGGCCACATTCTCTTCTTATTACTTTTACTCCTTATTCACCAACTCCCACTTGGTGCTTTTTCTGAGGAAGGACTGAGTCAGGACAAGATCTGTCTCATACTGACTTGTACTGAATGTTAACAAACACTTCTGAGATATTTCAGCCTAATTTTTATGCTGTTCTACATGATTCTCACATAGTAAAAAGACAAGCATTGTTTTCCTCATTGTCAGAATCTTGCTTTGAATTTCATTAAACTTGCTGCAGTGTATTGAGTGTTCGTGTTTCTGGTGCAAACCCACAGGGGTTCATTTGAAATAGCTGGAATCAGATGAAAAGGACACATTTTGAGGCCATGAAGAGGTTAAACTGGAAAAGTACAAATCTAGCCTGTAAAAAGAAGCAGTTACCATAGTAACTACTACATTGCAAGGTAGATGTGCCACCTGGGAGTTACAAAGCACTTCTTGAAAAATCCATGTGCCACTTTCCTGTTACAAAGAGCAGATGGAATATAATGTTCCTTCATTTTATTGAAACACTTTTTTTATTCGATGACTGTAATTACATTTAAAATTTTCTGGTTTGTATTTCTTCCTTAACTTTGCAAAAGCACTTGTGTTTCAAAAGAATTGAGAAAGAACAGTTATATGTAGAAGGAGGCTGGTGGATGCATATCTTGTAGAAATTGAACAGAGAAAATGTGGGTTTTCTCTAACCACCTTCTTTAATTTAGAAAGCAGCACGGGTAGAAACAGAATGGAATTCATCCAGCTAGAGTTCTGACCTGCACTGCCCCAGACACTCACACCATAAAATAGCAGCAGTTTCTCATATAGTCCAGACTTAAAATAAAATAGAATATAATTCCTCCCTCTGCTTCCTTATTTGATTTCCAAATTCCACTCAATACTTCTGTGTCCTTTGGGACAGTAAGGCAATGGAACTCGCAACAGCAGGATCAGCAGTGAGGATCTTATTATCCTCTCTTTTACACCAGAATAGATCTGTTGGCTTTCACTCTCCACAGGCAGAAGATGGGTCTATTTTTCTTACACGGTTCAAAACAACTTTGAACTTGTTAGGCCCAGTTACTCTGGGTTTCTGAGTCCTTGTATGAACTCTAGTGGACGAAGCATTAAGTTCCTACTACCATTTTCAGCTATCAGGGTGATAGTGCCATAGGATATTACGTCAGGAATCCCTCATTATTTAACAGTTTTCAGAGGGCCATTGCCAAAAGGCTTCCTAGGTATGATTCCAATCTTGGTACCACCTTCCAAGAAATACAGGAATACACTTTTTTCATCCTCAGCAACCTGCACTTGGATTTAAGTCATCAGCCACTGATTTCATGTAAGTTATTCCTATTGTACCTGCAGAAATGGAGGCTAAGTCTCTTCCATGTTGATAAAAATAATTTGAGTAACTGATTTTAAAATTAAAAACCTGATTCATTCAAAATGAGGACATCTCATCCGATACTTGAGAAATACTTCTTTTGTGTAAAATACATGTAGAGTTCTTCTGTTAAGTTTATTTTAGTTATTTTTCTTCATAAAAATAAATAAGTCTTAAGAATACTTATAAAAAACTCTCCACAGGGTGATGAAGTTATTCAGATAAAGGCATTGAACCACTTCAGAAATAATTGGAAAGCCATTAAATCACTCAACAGGGCTAGTTTCAAAAGTATAGAAACAATAATTGGTTGCCTTCTAAGTTAGTTTTGGCTTATTTAACATACTGTAACTTAATTCTTAAAGCAGATCTGAAAAACATTTGTACTTCAGAAGCCTTATCTGTTCATGATAAACAAAACACTCATTAAAGTGCTACAGCTTTGGCCAAGCATTTTTTCTTTTTATGAAACAATTTAAGACTTTAATTTGTTAGCTGTTCAGAAAATATCCTTTCCTGGGCCTCAGACTATTTTTACAGGCCTTGGTTTACAAACTGGATATGAAAATGTCTTTGGAATATTGTTTGAAGTGGACGAACATCTACAAGTTCCTCTGGCATTTTGCATTGTTTGATGCTGACATACAAGGTACACATTTTTTCCAAGTATACCACAGTGTATGAAAATGCTGCACTTATTCTTGCTGCTCCTATGCAGAAGTGCAATTTGAATGTCAAGGAAGAGTTTCACAGCCAGATCTGCTCTTTTGATATTGATGCCTTTGCTACTTTCCCATCATTGAAGAGTACAAAATGTACTTTTACTAAAAGTCAGTCTTTGGTAGCACATGCCAGAGCAAGGAGGCCAAAGTCAATCTGATGCAACTAAAAACATGCAGGAAAGTGGTTTTCATCTGTTTTTTCTCAGCCCTTATTTTTTGGGGTTATGTAGTTGGGTTTGGCAATGATAGTGCTATTGAGGTCCCTTTAAATTAACTTTGATTGAACTAGCCCTAACAAGGAGAACATCAAAGGGCAGTTGAAACTTCTGAGGAGTGTCTTGGCATTAATTTTTAATCATGTCACAGTGTTTTCTATATGCTTTTTTCCTAAGGTGTTTGTGCACAGTTTTAAAGAGGCAGAGCCTCTTACTGGTAAGGAAGATACCTCTATATTTATATGCATTTAGAAGGCAGGACACATGACATCTTCATTTTGCCTGTTAGCTGTATTAGCACTTTGAGCTGATTAATCATAAAATCCTGAGAATAGAGTTAGAAAAGTTTAATGCTGAACTCCATGTAACAGGCTGCTTGACTTCAGATAAAGAGTGCAAATTTGATGCTGAATTATGTAACATTTTAAACTCAGCTACTAAATCATTGCTATTGGAAGCACCATAGGAGGCTTTCTGGGGTTACAGAAATGTTAAGCAAAACCAAGAAAAATATCATAAATTAAGACTTTAATTATGAAAAGTGTCTTATTGAATGTTTTGCTACCCATGCTATTTTAAACAGTTCCTATTAATAACTTGTTTTATAGGTTAAACACATTTCTGAAGATCCACCTTGTAAATGCCCTAATAAGTTCTGTGTGGAGCGTCTTTCACAGGGAAGATACAGAGTTGGAGAGAAGATCCTTTTTATTAGGGTAAAGATTTTATTTTCACTTTTTTATTTTTACTTTGTTTTTCTTTTACTGCTACCTTCCACTTTGAAAATTACATCACTGATTAACAGGAAAAAATATTTTCTGGTTAACCAGCACTGACTCATTTTTGTGACACAGTTGGAGAATAAATAACCTACAGTGTGTTAACTGACCCAAGGAATTATTACTATGTGATAAATATCCTTCTGACTTTAGGTCATTGAATTTGCTCTCTCTTTAATCAATTGCAACCAAAATAAAAGTCTTTAGAAATAGACCTGGTGACTTCTCAGTTTGGCTTGAAAGAATACCCACTGCATTAAAACAGCCTTTCTCCCACTGTCTTTTGGCTGATACTGTCTAGCTGGTCAGGAAAGAGATCAAAGGCTTCGTGATCATTGAATTGCCAAGTCATGACTAAGATATATTGCTAAAGCAGCATGAGCAAACCATTGAAATCCATAGTATGTCATTTGATTAACAGATATTTCCAAACCTAGAGTTGTATTTCAGACTTTGTAGGTGGGTTATTAACTCCCATAGCACAAGGGTAATCAGTATCAATATTTGCTACCATTATTATATGGCTGAAATTAGCGCTTCTATACTTTCAAAGATTAACTCTTCTGATCCACTTAATCTTCTCTATATGTGGCTGTGGTAATAATAATTGAAAATACGCTAATCTTGTTATTCTGTAGTTGTATATTAAGAATTGGATTCATACTACACTTCTTTCCATCTTCCTCTCCACATGCACTATTCTTGAGTCATGACTTGACAAAATGATAGGTCTGAAACTCAAATGACTGTTATCCCTATTATGCTAAAGGCACATAACTGTGACCTAATAAAACTGAGCACATGTAAACAGAAGAAGTCAGAGGGACTCCTTCTTATCTGCAGGAGTCAAGTTCCTGGTTCAACAAAATACCAAAGTGCTTATTCAGTCATAAACTTCTGCTTAACTTACAATGAAGTCAGCGAAGCCAGATAAGGATTTGGGTTGTCTTGGGAGTGTGAAGTTGGGAACATGTATAAGTACTGTGCTGAATAAGTACTGAGAACTCCTAATTAATTCATTAATAGGTCGTAAAGAAGAAGAAATAAGGGATTTGTTAAATCTAACAGTTTGAGATTCAACGTGCTAGTATAAAGGAATAATAGCTTTTCTGACTTGTAGCCAGTAAGAGACTTTTAAAATTTTGCAGTATATTTAGGTAATAGCTTTATTATTAATTTCAAACCACTTTGAAAAAGGTAATGATTATTAAAAAGACCTCAGTAATCTGGCACATTTTAACATTTAAATTTTCTTCCTTTTGGTTTTCATTTTAAAAACAATATCAAAGTATTTTTAATCTTTTTGTTTTGAGAAACTTGAGTTCTGCCAGAATGGTGAGTGTCAAATTCCTTTTTGCTGGCTTCTTTATTATGCAATCTAGTCCAAGCCAGATTTCATTCCAAGTTTGCAAACAAAAATCCCTTTTCATATCACACTGCTGCATTCCAAGTTGAATTGTGAAAAAAAAAAATAACAGTATTATGGATTAGGCATTAAACAGCAGTACTAAAGATCATTCCTACAAAACTTGTATCAATGGAAACTTGCCATGCATTTCAGTGGGAAGAAGTTCATTTTCCTAGGTTTTAAAAGTCAGTTGTCTTTTGGTTCTGGTTGGTTTAAACCTCATTTTGGAACACTTCACTGGATCACAGTAAGTTTTTACTCTTCACTCTACATGTTCTTGAGTACATAACTAGATATATTAGCCTTTCTTTGGAATCCTTCGGACAGTTGTGGAAAAGCAGATTTAAGGTATGTAGCTGATTTTTAATTTTGTCGGTATTTGGCACCCTGTTTGATGCCTTCTAGGCTGTATGCTCTTTACACAGCGTGACACAGCCAAACACATACCATTTGTTTACAACCCAATGGGTTCTAGTTGAATTCAGATCAACAGTTTAAGATGGTATAGTATATCCACTCCTGTATTAGCCTATTAGCTTTTTCCAGTAGCCTCTACAGAATTTAAAACCTCTATCATTTCAGTAATGCTGCAAGTATGCCATGTGGTAGGAATTAACTCCTATTACTTGATGGCTACGATTTTTTTTTTCAGGAATTATTTAATAATATCTGTAAATTTTTTTTCTGATTCTGCAAGTTCTGTTAGGAAAAAAACCCAAAACCAGCATTCAAACTGGAAGAGAAAGTGTTGCAAGTTCCTCTTTTTATTAATATGTATCTATATATGAAATAAGTGAACAAGAAATAGCAGAGCAAAATAAATCATGGTATAGCATAGATTTAATGCAAAAAATCACAGAAAGAAAAAATACATATGTCGATTTAAAGTCATTCTAAGGAGAGGAAACCCATTGGAATATGTAGCAAAAAACGGTCCCATTAAAATTAGAGTAAATTTTTTCTTTTAACGTGGGAAATATTTCAATTCCTAATAAAAGTTTTAAATCCATGAATTAAGGGAAATTACAACACTTCATAAAAGCATTAAGATATTTAAATCTTAATAACATTTCATGCCCCAAAAGCAGTTTTTTACTCATGAAGTGTTTCCGTAGCGCATAAACTGAATATGATTAAAATAATGCTGTGGTGGCTTAGATGCTAAAAATTTATGTTCAATAAAAATTTATCTGCTTGTAGATTCTTTTTCCTTCCTTCCAAGTAGGAACAATTCTAAATTCCACTTCCACAGAAAAGACAGAAATCATGTTTTACAGTAATGGATTATATTAACAAGTTGAAAAAAATGACCAGTTTATTAAGAATTGAAACATTGGTTTACAATTAGCAGGATCTCTGTATGACTGCAACATACAATTAATAATTTACTTTTTCATTCTCCTATCATCCTACCATATGCCTTAATCTTTCAGAATGGAACTGAATAAGCCTAATTTTAAAAAATAAAGAATAACAAGTCTTGAAAACTTGTACAAATGTTTGGTTTATAAATTGGGAAAGAGTCACAGAGTTTGAAGCGCTTGCTTCTTGCAGAAGGCATCAAAGTCGAGATTTTTATAATAAGAAATATCAGTCACCCCTTTACAAAAGTACTTCTTTAACAGTTTCAGTGACAAGAATTCTGTTTTCATGTTGCATTGCATATGCATTAGTATGAAAATTTCCCACAAATTAACCAGGTTCTCTCAGAAAGATCTGTCATTTTGGTCCATACCAATGATGACATTCAAATCGTTGGGAAATTATCTTTAGTGCAACTGGAGTCACATTAGATGATGTAATGGGTCCTGGTTTTAAAGCTTCTGATTTTTCCTATGACATACAGATGTTCTCTGTCTTGCAGACCAGTTGATAAATGTGTGCTTGCTCTTAAATATTTGACCTTATATCCTTAATAATTAATATAATGTAACATTATTTTTCTATAGCAATAAAATTGTTTATTTGACATTTTCTTCTTCTAAATCCCAGGAAAGGAAAGGTGTTATTTACCTGGTACAGCACCTGTGTAGAAACTTTCTTTTCAGATTCACTAACATAATAGATGTGTAATAAGTATGTTAATTTATATATATAAGTCACTCTGCAGGCAGTCTAATATGCACTATGGCCTCTTCCTGGTGAGAAAAATGTACTTTTGTATTAATAGACAAGTACATTTTAGTCAAAACCATCCGGGTAGGGATGATGTACCATATACCAGATAAGAGCTGGAAAGAAGGAGAAATAGAAAGCAGATTGATTATACAGATCTCAAGACTCAGATGCTTTGCTCTGCCATTCCAAGTCAAATGCATAAGTTGTGCTCATAGCTTTTGTATGGTTTGTTTCTGTCTTTTGTTTTTCCTTCAGCATAATTTTCCTAGCTTTTGTCTTCCTTACTCCAAAGATTTTCACAGTTGTTCTGCTTTTCCCAGGCCTATTCACTTCCAATCTGTGAAAGAGTTTATGTTTTTAGTAGTGAAAATCCTTTCTTAAGCTTTATCCGTAAGAAATACCTTTCCAGGGTGTTTAGAATGTCAAAATCATGGGCACATCAGGAGTTTTAATTAACCTAACTCCAAAGGAAATATAGGGGAATACCTGGGATCTTGTGAATGAATTCTGAAAACACATCTTGAGCCTCGGGACAGCAGCAGTCATTGGTCTCTTTGGACTTCTAATCTCAGTCTTCTTTGTGTTTGTAGACAACTACAGTAATTCTCAGCTTGAGACTGCAAAAGACGTGGGGAAAGGCATGTCTGAAGTCCAGCCCTAGTTTATGCCCAGATACAAGGTGGTTTTGGAGACCGTACAGCTGGACACTTCTTTACTCTGTGCCAATTCCTCTCCAACAGCTTTGCAATCACAGAAAAGATGACATTTCAGTCTTACTTGTGCTACTGAAGGTGGAATTCTTCTCAACCTTCTCAGGTTTCATTTATTGTTAAAAAAAAAAAAAAGTACTTAAAGGGCCAGTAAAATTCACTCCACAAGACTCGAAAGCTCTTGGACAAACAGTGCTATGAAAGGTGTCAGTGGGGTGGCTGGAATTGAGTGCTGCCTACAGCACTGTCAGGAAATCAGGTTTGTTCTATACTCTATCATATATTTTGTTCTATACTCTATCATTAACGTGTTGACGTTAGGCAGAACCCTGCCCCAGCTTAAGTTGCAGTTTGCTTGTTCTTTTAGTTACCCTTTCTCTTCTGCCTCTCCCTTCGTTGTTAATTTTTTCCCTTTCCTGCCTGCAGCTTTTCATTAGGCTAGATGCCTCCATGGAGCCAGAACCCATGGACAGGTCTCTTCACTTTGTACCTGATGATGCTGGTTTGGCACACAATAAAACAGTTACAGCTCCACTGTCTGGTCCTTTGAAGAACTGACATTTCTAGTTCAATAGTTGACTGACTTTCACCGAGGGTTAGCCTAACCCATAAAGTATGATAAATTTAATACATGGTTTTTGTCCCTCTTGATTTAATTTTCTATCTTTTTTTCACTGACATACTGCATTTGTGCAGCCATT